ACAAGCCTGAAGCTTAGTCAGTCCTATGAAATTAAAGATAGGTTTCACAAAAATATTTAGCATAGTTTTTAAAGAGACATAAAGTGATAAATAAGAAACATTTGAGAAAAMTAGAATTACCTATAAGCTCATCCATCTCCTGGCTGAACCAAGTAAACATTTCAACTAAAATAAGTGGGAGCAAGACCGAACTCCTTACAGGTTTTTGAACACCACCAAGGAAACAAGACACCTTGTACACCATCATTCAAATACAAGAAACGAATGAACTTCAGTACCCTTTCTTTACCCTGACTGACTTCTGCACTGTATAAATCCTGAAGCATAATACAGTATTTCTAAGAACTCAAAGTATAAATTTTAATTATAATGCTATTAAAAATAATAGTGCACATTTTTGAGAAAATTCAGCTAGTTGCAGATTGTTTCAAACAACTGGTACAATGAAACACAAGTATTTTCATGAAATAATCATGGGGATCAGTTYAGTTTTAAGGAAAAGCCTTGGCAASAGGAACTGCAGTGGTGGCTAAAAGACCTCCTTTATAATAGGACATCACAAATGCACATTTTGTGCGTGCCTAAAGCCAGTTCTGAGTATAAATAAACYGTAGCTCTGAGAATATTATCTATGCCTTGTACTTCAGAGCTGTCAGTCAGTATTTTTGATCATTAGCCATCTGTGATTATCTTAATTTTTGCCAGCAGGAGAAGGAACTCTTTTCCACCAGGGAGCTCTGTTATTACAATATAATTTATATGTAAAGAGCTCATTTCATTAGAGGGAAAAAAACACCAACTTTTTACATAGGTTTGTTTTTTTTTTATTTTGTAAGAAACTTTTAGCATTAATTATTTTGCTTTACTTTTTTTTYYTTYMWWTTTTTTTATCCTTGGTATGGTCCATGTAAAAGCAATTGACATCATATTGGTGGATTAACAATAATTTTGTCTTTATTTTACTTTTTGTTTARCATCCATTATGGAAGATTAAGAAACTGAACCAATCACAGACCTAAAGCATTTAGCTAGAGAAATTACTGCTTTTCAGTTCACTCAAAATTGTTGTACTTGAGAACTTATGTCTTTACCACGTGCCAGTTAAAATCCTTAAAGGTCATTTTAGATTTTCGTCCCATCCATCTGTTCAAAGAATGATTTTATTATGACCTTGTTTTTCAAATGATGTGGTGAAATGAAAGTACTGCACCTCCCTGATTTACTAAAATGAAACTCTGCCTATTGTTGTAGTATGAAGCCCTGTTTTTACTGGTGGTGTAAATGGTGACATTATAATCTGAATAAATTGATTCATAAGGACACTAATATAAAATGAATCACTTTTTAAACTTTACTTGGCTAATTCTGATTTTTTTACAAACTATCCCAGTTTGTCAATGGTRCYAAGAACCTGTTGTCTCTACTTTTRGCCTCAGGCCTTTGTCATCTKAAAGTTGGAAAGTATTCAGGTGAACTTTAAAAATAAAATCTGAATCAGTATGAYGGTCTTGAAGCCTGTGTTTAATATGCTCAAATGACAATGGAGGTCTGTGTATACCAAGAGTCCACTATGTTTTCATAAATRTACACACAAGTCTTTTGCTTCCTGGACCGTAGCTGTGGTACAGATGATGTCTAGTTTTAGTTTTTCTCTCACAAATCTGCAAGAAGCCAGTTCTAATAGCAATGAAAATTTACTACTGAATTTCAACGGCTTTTTTTTTGATAAAACTAATTTTTGAGGCTGTGACTATATTACATTCTCAAACTTACATTATGTATTTGACTTCTGAATTTGTATCAGTTCCATGATCTAACATATAATAGTCAATGTCAATTATACACAAACCTCAACATTAACAGAGCATTTGTGRTCTACCCCATCTGATCATATATTTACAGCATAAAGTTATGCTGCAGATAACAGCTCTTCCAACACTTTTGATTGGTATTTTTGATGYGCATTTTAGTAAACAGTGTGAGAATTAGTTATAAAAACTCTCTAATGAAAAGAAAAATACTTACATTTTGAGGACATATATTTTTCTCTATAGTTACATTAAGAGGCAAAGAGCAAGAAGGAAAAAGATACATGTAAGAAGAAAGAAAATTTTGATGCAATATTTAGTTACTGGAACTACCAATTACAATTGGGCTCAGTGTTCAAATCTTGCATTTCCAGCTACCTTGGGTTTGCACATTCRTATCACCTCACAATGGCACCAACTGTTTCTTCACAAGCAGATCTCTGAGCAATAATAATAATGGAAAAGATTTCTTCCCCCTCCCCCCCTCTTTTTGTGATGTCCAGCAAGGGATCTTTTTTCAGCGTTTTCAGTGTTGTGTAATACAAGATTCTCTCTTCACAAATCTGTGGCAACCTATCTGTGGCACTATGAGTGAAACTCAATGGGAATAAATACATGAGTTAAATGAACCTGTCTTGAGTACTTGATGACCACACCACAAGGAGTGGGATGTAGAGAGATTGGCTGCCCCAGGCTTGCCCTTGTCCAATCCCATGAAGTGAGAGCTGTACCTTCATCTCTGAGTTGGTTTTGATCAGAAGGAACCAAATACATCATGCAATTCACAACAATGAAAAGAGGAATAGCTGGGACATTCACTTCAGAAGTGCAGGGTAGATCTAATACAAAACACCAATGCAGACACACACTTTCACTGAAATTGCCCAGTGAGTATGTTGGTATAAGGACAGGAATAGTTAATGTACATTTATTTCACAAGTATATAACAGCATAAAAAGTGACAGGTTTAATGAGAGTAACATCACGCAAGCACCTCTTACCATATGATAAGTTTTGCWTAAAATAACTTTTGAAAATTGTAACAGCTTGTGAATTATGTAGTTAACAGGGTAACAGAAGAACTGAACAGTACAAGGTTTTCTACATTTTTTAAACAAAGGTGCCTTCATAAACTGTCCTGGTTCTGTTAAACAACTTGGGACAAGCTGAAAGTAATTCACTTCYTACATCTTTATTGTCAAACTTGATTTGATTTGATTGAATCTATATTTATCCTCATGTGGCTCCTGGAGCACTTGTGAACTTTCATAATTCCAGTCTATCAGGACAAATCTGCAAGTAAAAAAACTCACTTTTATCAGCAGGTATTCAATGAATGGCAGGTGGCAAATAAAGCACTTCGTGAATTGTTTTAATTGCATTTCTCTCCCATCTCCCAGAACTTGAGAAAGTTTTAGAAAGCTGGAGAGGAGCAGGMTGGGTTTATTTGCAGCTTTGATTTTGTTCCAACACTGCTTGCTTTCAGAAAAATGTCGCTGATGGAATTTCACTGCCTTTCATGTGTGGATGATATTTAAACTGGTACAACAAAGGGGATATAGTAGTGCAGCAGAGATGCRCATCACAACAAATATGAAAGCAAAAAGCTAAATTTGCTTCACTAATTCAAGATTATAAAGAAGCTTTTAACCTGAGTCAGTTGACAAGTAGTGAGAATAAAATTATTTTCTCCTGGAAATGAAATAGAAAGTAAAGTTGACAGATTTAGCTTTAGCTGTTTTCTATCATTAGTTCATTTCATAGAATTAAGTTAATAAAGTGCTACAASAAAATAATTAGCTGGAAAGTTCAGTGTTCAGCTCAAAACCTTTTTTCTTTACACTGTTTTCTTACATGTTCCTTGTTTTGTGTGCAAAGAAAGCACAGAAGAGAACACATTCCCTGTGTTAATGAGTATTTGAGGTTGGGCTGGAGATTCCAGATCAGAGCAAACTTTCTTCAGCGAATGAAGCTGCAGGTTTCCTAACATAATCTTTGATTATGACTGCAGCAATTTTGAAAACCACCTAAATTCAAAATAATCATGTTAAATAGCTTTTTTTTCAAGGATTTTCACTGAGATTTCTAGAATTGACAGATTTAGCCTGTGAAATATYAAGTGTTTTTATGGTAAATTGTAAAGGAATATTTTGGTGTACGTTTACAGCAAGAAGCTTTATTCTGTCATATAATGTCATGCTGGTGAAGTATCTCTATAGAGCCATAAAGAGATAGTGCAGTCTGGAGAAATGAGCAGACTGAGGATCAAGGGTTAGCAGTTGTGCACCATCCTTGTTTAATCTTTGCGAAGTGAGGTGAGTGATGCTTGATTGTTCTTAAGAATACCATGCAAAACCTGAGGCAGTGAGATTAATTGTGATGCAGGAAAAGTGAAGGAAAATATATAGATAAATTCATCTAATGAAAASTGAAGCTAGAACTTGAATTCTCTCAGTTCGGAATTCACATGGAGACAGTGAGGCTGAGGTCTGTTTCATTTTTTTGAGTTTCAGTTGTCCAGTATTGAACASCATGAATTTCTGCAATGTGCAGTTGGCATTAGAGGGCATTTGAAAGAGCTTAAAAAGGTAACCACCCTCTACAAGTCGTGCCTGCCTATACCAAACAATGAAAAGTGATCTGAGACTAATAATTTTCTAAAGTCAGGAGTGATCCAGCATTTCAGGCCAACACTTCAGGGCAATCTAGAAATCTTCCATGAAGATAAGAAAGGTGTTGGCTCTATACTTCTATATTTGTTTTCTTCTCTCTTGCTCTTACCCAGTTTTATAGTTCTTCTCCTTATCTCTTAGTCTACAGAGCATGTAGGCATGCTGTGCTTCTTCTGTTTTCTGTGGGGAGAAATATTCCATTTGACTATATCTGAAGGGATGCTAATATTTTATACATTTGTTTAAGATCTAGCTTAGATTACATTTCTATTTTAAATTCAAATCTTTTAGAAAAATTCTGTTGCTACAGCTTAACTTGCCCATCCAATGTTCATTTTCTTCACGTCTCAGTAAACTTTTAAGTACCTGGGAAAGACCTGGCATTCTGTATCACACAAAAAAGTCACAAGACGATTTCCTTGAGAAAGCTTGACAGTATCCTCTTGTTCAAGTTCTGAGAGGTGGATGATGTGTAAAGAGATGAGGATTAATTTGTTTCTGTTTCCATTTTCATGTACAGGTATGATCCCCTGAAGATGGTGGCAGGTTTCTCCTGTGGTTTAAGGGCTCACCTGGGACTCAGAAGAGAAAGGTTCAATGTCCTGCTGTGCTACAGACTCCTGGAGTGGGCAATGTGATATTCGTTTCAGCATCTCRGACAAAAAACGTAATTTCTTCTGTATTATAGGGATTTTATTCAGGTAAATGAATACAAATATTAATATTCTTAAGATGATTACATTTAAGATATGTATATGTAAGAATTTATCAAGATGACTCTATATTTAATAATTTTAGCTAAAGACTGTAGAATTTATTTAAGTCAGAGTTTACCGTTTACTACAATCAGAATATTGTTTGACTATGTGTGGAAAAAGAAGAGTTATTGAAGAGTTATTGTTTTGGAACTTAACGAGATACATTTATTCCTGTGTTATGGTAAAGRAGGAAGTTTTGTTTCAAGGCCAGTAGCAAACAAATGTATAATTTAAAGAGGAAAGAAAATACAGCCTGCTGGGCATTCATTTGCTTAGAGAAGTTCTTTGTATTTACAGTTCTAGAAAAAAATATTTTCTTGTAAAACATTCAGTAAATACTTAAAAGCATACAACATTCCTGCTTACTGAAGGGACACAACAGAGAGATTACCCAAAGGAGAACTGAAACAAGAAATAAAAAGATATAATGGGGAAAATTCTTGCCACTGTAGTTCAAGAGAAAATAGTCACCTTCAAAAGATTATTAAGAACTTTGAGGGACTGAAATCACTTCCAAGGGACACTCTGGTACATTCGGTTCCTGAATTTATGTATCTCAATTTGGTATGTAAAGTTAGGTCATTATGATTTAGCCCATTTCCTTCCCACCTCTGTTTTATTCTACAGTTGCTTGAAAAATTTATCCAGAGTGGTATAACTGCACTAGCTGTGACTCTCTTTTATCTCCAAAWTCCTCATGCTCTCCTTCTCCAAATTTGTTGCTAACAGTTCCACTAATGAGTCACTGTGAAATGATTTCTCAGACATACTCTGAAAAGCTCAGCATACTCAAGAGCACGAGAATTATATGCATTTTATGGCGCTGTAGGAAGTTTTTAAAGGATTTGAATTATTTCTTACTTCTGTCTTTTTCTTACCTTAATATGAAACAGTAAGAAAAAGACCAAACAAAACTGCCACACTCTTTCCCACATTCCCCATTTCAATTTCTCCTCTGCAAGACTACAGTTCTCCAGAGCTGATTTTCCTAATAGAGCCCTTCCTGACTATGTTGGACAAATGTCATGTCCCCTGGCTCTCTCCATCTTGTAATGAAAATAGACCTATTCCCAGCTACACCTTGCTGATTGCTTCCTACCTGCTGCTAAGGATAATTTGTGCAGTGTAAATGAAGACTTCASTAGTTGCTGTAGGGAAAAAAAGCTACAAAAAGAGACTGCTATTCAGCACTCACATAAACAGCCAATAAAGAAACAGGCCTGATTAGCTGAAAATGTGTAAACTGTATAAAGTATATAAAAGATCTTTAAGTTTTCACAACCTTAAGTATACTAGACATCATACATAAGTGTTTTGCCCTGAAAAATGAATCACATATGTTTGTATCATTTCAATTGCCTGATCCTATATCAAGAATTTGCGTGTATTGTTTTTTTCATTTTTTTCTGTCAAACATTTACTACTAGATTGTTCCCTATTGTTTGAAAGTAGGCAATGAAAGGAATCTGGCAATGTTACTTTRCAGAATATTATGACTGTTCAGTGTACTGATGTTTATGTTTGCTATTTTTCCCCAAATATACTTTCAGATAACCTCTTACCTCTGAAAGAATGAAAGAGACAGAAACCTTACATGTAGAGTTACAGAAAATGGTGAGTTGGAGACTGAAACAGTGGCAGTTCCAGACAGCAAAGCTGTGTGCTGTGTGTGACCTCAGATCCACCTGATTTGCCCCATCTCTGCTATGGTCATTCTGCCTTCTGTTTGTCCCATGCCATGAGAGCAATATGATGCCTGTGTGGGTGTAATAGCATTTATCATTTATTTTAGCCCATTCCCTGTGTGTAGATGAAGGCAAACATATTATTTCTAGCTGCTGTATGACTGCTGTTTCATTTTACCTCAATGTTCTTGACACAGGCTGGGATTTAATTGAACAGTACAGGGTGTAGAGGGGGAAACAGTCAGTAAGAAGCTGACTACCACTAAGGAAATACATTGTCCTCCTACTGAAAACCAGCTGAAATACAGCTTTCCTTTCTGTCCTCTGCAAGGAGAGAAGAAAAGAACTGCATCAATAATCARTGTATTTTATATTCCCWATCACTCTATCCTTTTCTTCTTCTMATGRGTTGGGGTTGTCTCCACACATTTTCCTTTTGTCTGTGCAGGTTAATACTTGAAGCATCTGCTAACACTAGTTTAAAATACTTTCTGCTTCCTGACAGCTAGTATTTCATCTTGATCTTCCCTAATTATCCTTCCAAATTTGTCTCTTTTCACACTTTTTACCAGCCTCCTCAACAAATTGTTTAGACATTGTGAAATGCTGGTCCTGCTTCCAACTGATGCTGCTCTTTAACATGCCTRGACTCCCTCTCCTTCAATTGCTTTAGCTCATTTCACCTATAAAGACAGAATTAGCTAATTCATAATGTTTTTTTTCTGAGGTTCAAAGAAAGACCCTTTTATGTATACCTSTGACTAAACTGTAAATCTTTTGCTCACAGTAGAAACTCACCAAAATCCACAAGTCTGAGGTGCCCAAAACCTTCACACCCACAACTGCAGTTTTTCAGGGAGAGAAATGAAGCAAATCCTCTGGGTTTTACTGAGCTCCCAGAGGACTAGAAGGGTCCTGGAAGATCTGAAMGTCTCTTTTGGGAGCTGATAACTTCCTTACCTTTCAGGCTTCAGCCTACTAATCCAACAATGCTGGAAGATCTGTGAGACAGTAAGACTCTCAGCTCCATCCTTCATTCATACTCTAGCAGGTCAAGCAGTGTTTGTGGGGTTTTCTGGTCAGCTCTTGACTTTTCAATACAGCAGAATTCATCAAGGGTTACTGAAAGATTTTGTTTGATCAAAATAAGGGAACTTTTTACATTTGTTGTTCAGGGTTTGATGAGTTCTGGAAAAAGAGCAAAGAACRATTTAATTTGTTTCATGTCTCTTCCAATAAAGCAGAGCTATAAGGAGTATTCCTCCCACCTTGAATAGTGGAGTGCTTTATGTTTGTTTTTGAGGTTCTTCTGAAGTTTTCATAGTCCAGAAGGCTTGGACTGTCATTTCAGTGCACCAGATATCATTTCTATGCAGCTCTAATCATGGTTCTGGGAAGAACTGGGACCCAGCTGAGCAGGATTTTCTTACATTCCCAGCTATTTTTGCTAATGAGAAAAATTTTTTTTACCTGATGGTGTGGAAAGGAAGATTCAAAACAGTTACTGTTTTTCTTTTGGATTTACAGCAGTTTTATCCATTTCTTGAAGATTAAGTTTGGGAGACATTTTTTAAAAAGTAGAAGTGGTCATAGTAGTGGTAGTAGCAGTAGTAATAATAATAATAATAATAATAATAATAATAATAATAATAATAATAATAAACAGCAATAACAAATAATAGTAATAAAACTAAGCCAGTGGGTTTTGCGTGCATTGAGAGAAAAAGGACAGCAGCTGTCACTGCTGTTAAGAATAATTTATATATTGTCTATTGTCTGATTTATCCTTCTGGGGTTATAAGTGTTGACAAGTTAACATCAGGGCAAAGGTACACTGGGCTGTCAAGTATCTATTTTCTGCATCTTGCTCTTCCACAAAGTGCTACAGAGATTGATTGATTTGATTTTAAAGAGTTCAGTTACATCACAGTGACACAGTCTTCAATATGAATTAAAAGARTAAAATTGTTTGTTTAACTTGTTTTTGTGTTGACAGGATCTTTGCACTCCAGGCAATCACTTTATTTTCCTTACAGCTTTGTTCTTTAGCCCCCCAAATGTGGAATGKCACTCAACCTTGTCATATGTTTTTCTTGATGTTCCTTATTAGTCCTTACCATTCTTTTCAGCAATCTAACAAACACGGATACCCTTTGTCACTCAGTTGCTCTGGGTTTTTTGCCGTTTTTAGTTTTCTCTCCCAATGCTGTGTTAAAGGAGTTTCTTAGTGGACATCAACTTTACTTCATAAGATACCACTTAAGCCTTTGAGTGATCACTAGTGTGATCATTTAATTAAATTACCATAGACATTCCAAATGAAAATTACACTGTTGAATCCACAGTTCACAGTCTCCCCCCATTTAATTTTAACTCTGATCTAAATTTTTTGAGAGAATAAGGAAGTGATAATCCCATTAGGTGTCTTGCTGATCTTGAGCGCTTTCTGAAAATGAGATGTAAATGTTTTCARAATACAATTTAGGTAACTATCCAAAATTCGGAGCATCTTTTTCACACTTAATTGTCCCACTGAACCTTTCTAATCTCATCTCTTGCACATACATTTTAAATCCCTGTTTTACTCCATCTTCTATGCTCATTTTGGTACAGCACTCAAATTCATATGTGAATCACTGTTATTTTAATATATACAGAGAGCTGAGATGAAATATCAAAAGGAATGCACAAATAAAAGAATATAATCCAGAACTGATGACATCAGAAATAAAAGGTTTTCAGGCAAATTATGCATGATACAGGAAGACTCAGACATGAGGTGATGAGCTAGAATARATTTCTGAAAAAGGTCAGGACAAAGTTGTATGGAAGCAAAAATTACAGAGTTACTTAGAAACAGAAATTTTAAGCAATTAATGCTTAAAATGTTTTGKTTTTTTCTAGTTTTATTTTCTCTTGAACTAAATGGCTGCTCMTATGTGAAAGGTGGAAAATGGATTGTGAAGTCATCACACATAAAAAAGCATAAAAATCTGTTTTATRCATATTTAGGCCCTTATTCATGTAATTATTTAACTGTGCTTAAATCTGTTAGTGATGTTAGTTTTAGCAAGTACTTAAGCATCAAAGTWGTGTAGACTGGTTAGTAGCAGAAATGCAGTTAATCATCTTTTCTCAAAAATGGGACCTTGAAAGGCAAGGCTTTTTCAAAACTACATAGTTGGAAAGACATTTTCATCCTAGCAAAGTTCTACTGTT